ACCGTAGAGCAGACCTAGATACACCTAGTGAGCCAGACAAACCAACCTAGGTTTAGGTGTATCTATCTATCTATCTATCTATCTATCTATATATATATATATATATATATATATATATACACACAAAATCTTATATGTTTTAATAATTAATTATTTTTATTTATTGTTTTTTTTAATGGTTTGATTTCTGGAAATAAAAATTGTAGAAGGTTAGATGTATAATTAAATTTATTTATTATTTATTATAATTTATGTACATATGTTTGTTGTTATACGCTTATGTGTACGCTTTTTCCTAAACATCTATACACGCACGTATATATATATATATATATATATATATATATATACACATAAACGTGCATAAAACATATACACATATATTTTCTTTGTTATTGTTATGGGACCTTAACCATAATAACATAATTGACTATTCCATACGTAATAAATACTGCGCCTCAAGAGGAAGCAGGGAGTTCAGACCGAAGTCGGGCGACCGGCTGACTGGCTGATCGGTTGAACTCTTTGCCTTCAGGCGGGGAGGAACCCGAATGAGGCTACGCCGAAGGGCGGAGTCTCTTTCGGGGAGGTAAACCGACCCTGAACCCGTTTATACGGGTTCAAAGGGCATATTTTTGGCCGAGTGTACGGGCTCGGAGATCCCACGTTAAACCGGCCTTGTGCCACATGATGCCCTCGTGTGTGTGGGGGGGGTGACTAAATACCATTCAGTCTGAAGTCTGGAGTGAGGTCCATCAGGAGTCTGTCAGTCAGTCAGAGCAGCGAGCAGGCAGTCAGTCAGTCGAGAGCAGAGGCAGTCCGAAACAGAGTCGCGTTCAGACAATTACTACTAAACCTGATTGTTCATACTAACACTTTCTACTTCTCTGTATATATTCCTGTTTGTAATATATCTGTGTTATTCCATACCCGTATTCGAGTTCTTCTTTATTGGTTCTACCCGTGGACTGTCACCCGGGGTACACGGACCCTGGGCCATAACAGTTATTAATAAACTAGTGCTTAAATGGTGTAGTTGTTTATTTTTTCTATGTTTAGGGTATTAATTATGGTTGGTTGGATTAATAGAATTTGTTGTTTGGATTTTTATGCACACACACACACACACACACACACACACACACACACACACACACACAAACACACACACACACACACACACACATATATATATATACACACATGCAAATATATACCTACTATATACTCCCACACACTTTAAGCACTCACACTGTACGCACCCACATATATGTAATCGTTAAATAATATAAATGTAATTAAAATGAGTATATGCGTATATCATGTTATCGTTTATTTAATGTTTCGTTTTTTTTTTATTTAATGATTAGTAGTTTATTTGCTTTTGCTTTGGTGTTTTATATTGAGGTATTAATTATGGGTGTTAGATTTGTTCGCTTTTAGTGTTTGCGTGTCTGTGTGTACATGTTTACATATACATGTACACATACGTGTATAGGTGTATATGCTTAATATTTGTTTGTTTATGTATTTATTAATAAATTAAGTTTATATTATATTTATTTTATTTATTTATTTAAAATTTATATTATATTTTATATTTATTTGTTTATTTTTAATTAGTGCTTAGACAGCAAAGTAAGTATTTATTTATATACCTACAATTACCCGTTATTTCAGTTTTCTTGTTTAAGAGTTTTTTGGTGTTTTTAAAACTAATTATTGCTAATTTTCTTTCAAAGCATAATTTACAATTTTTACTGTTGATACTGTATGGGGCTGCTCTTTTTATGACTTCCCACTTGATTTTGGTGGGGATATTGTTTTCTTTTTGGCTCTATATGTATTTTGATAGAATTGTCTTGTTTGTGGATTTTTTCTTTCAAATGATATTTTATGGCTATAATATCTTTTTTTAAAGTTTTTTTTTTTCTGTAGCGCCCATGTAAATATTTTTGTCTGTGTTAATGTTATTACGATATCTTTGTATATTATGTTATTGGTTAAACATTTATTATTAAGTGGGCAATTTTCTTTGTCTCTTCAGTTATATTAATAATGTCATTTTGCTGGATGTTATTGTTGTGATTGCTATTAATTTTGTTGAGTATTTTTATTGTTTAGTTATTATTTTCTTCTTGTTATCCATGCAGCTGTAAATAATTTGATTGTTTTTTTTTTTCTGATAAGTTTTGATAATTTGCAGTTTTTAGGGATGTCTTTTTGTCAATTACTTTGAAGAATATTATCCCTACTTTTGTTTTCAATGTGTTATTGAAAGGAGGAACCAAATTTTATTTATTTTTCTGTTATTTTTCTTTAAATTGTTTTCAATTTTGTAGTTTTATTTGAATATCTATTGTTTCTTAGGGCTCATTCACATGTTTTTTTTTTTTGTTTTGTTTTGTTTTCATTGAATATTTTAGTCTAGTAGAATTTGTTGAAATTCTTTTATTTATAGATATGGGTATCTGTTTAAATACAATAGTGAGGTGATTAG